TAATTTATATTGTATTAAATCATCGCTGGAACGTTCGAACAGCAATCAAGAAGCGAGGTGAGAAAGCGAACAATTCAATAGAAAAACGATGTGTATGGAAAAGTTTCATTTGCGCGTTGCGCGTTGCTAGTGTTTTTATTTTAGTTTGACTTCCTATTCGTTTGAGATAAAACATCATTGCTGTTTCTGAGTGTCAACTTTTCGGTTGTGAGACTGTGGAATAATCTATACATTTTTGAATAAGACATTTTCTATTAGTCAACAAACAAATTTTATTTTCCATTGTCATCACGATAAACAAACGCAAACGCGCACATATCCACCCGCAAACAATCTTTTTTAGTAAGATTTTTGTTGATAGCAAGATTTGTGTGCTACATCAAATCACTCACACCGAAATTGTCGTTTAATTACGTGGCTTTTCCTTGGCAAAGTACTATAAAACGATTTCAAATTTTACGAAGCAATTGGATTAAAATGTCCTTTTAGTGTTGGACACAACGAGAAAAAGAGGGACGGATTGTGGTACAGTCTATAATTCGCGATCAAAAGTTCAATAATCATAGGTTGTTTCATACAGATGCAATCCAATTCGACAGGATGTTATTTATTCAGTGGCTCTGTTGAATACATTCTGTAAATATGTTACATGAAGTGTTAATCTTTGTGTGCTGAGCGAAGCGTTTGCCATAAGGAACGCACTCAACTCTCGGAAACGCATGGACTGAGACACTTTTCCGGCATTGAAACCAAACAACAATGAACATACAGTCACATGAATATCTCTCTCTCTCTCTCTCTCTCTCTCTCTCTCTCGGTTACTATCTGACAACGTTTCTTCTGCCATACACACATCTCGTACATCGTTCTGCATTCCCATTTTATTAATACTGTTATTATCCTGTCTAACTACACGCTTTGCAATAAACAAACCATACAAGAATGTACCAGAAGTAAGAACCGGAGAAGTGCTTGAACAGTTTGTACTCGCTCACATGTTAAGTCTATAGAGTATCAGTATGTTGTTTTTTTTCTCCTTCTGTTCCGCACAAAAACGCACTCCTTCAGAATGTTTCTGTGTACAGTGTGTGTATATACATGACGATATATATATCACGTCAGATCTTGTGCCTTGTGCCATGTTTGTTCTCGCCTCAGTCTTTTCCTCTTAACATTTTGTGGAAATTCTTTTTTGTGTCAAATAAAAATGTCATAAAAAACAATCTTTTCTCCCCCTTGTTATTCCCCCGTTCGCACAATCAGCCGGCACATAATAATGTAATACAAAAAATTCACAAGGATGATTTAGTTAGTAGTCGTGCATCGCGCAGTTTCTCTCTGTCGTTTGGTTGAAAATTGAATGTACGGATTTCTGTCTGTCGCTCTCCATTTTGGTGGAATGATTCTGTCTTTGCGAAAGGGAATTATATATTCATGCACTGATGTGGCAATGCAAAGCATCTACGAAGGTATCTTTGACTACGGCTTCGAGATAAGGACGAAATTCGATTCGAAAATTACTATTTACAGAAAGTCTCTTACAAAGTGTTGGCAAAGACGAACAACGACACAAAATGCACCAGAACAGTGAAAGTGACAACGTGGACGACAAACTCCACGATAACAATAAAAACCACCAGACAACTGTTGAATCTTTTGCACATAATCAGCACAAAGTGCGCATCATGCACTCACGCTTTGCCTTCTATATATATCACATGCACAATTTTCCGCATATATTTCAATTCGGTCAAAATAAATTCGTAGAAAATATAATGAAAAGGTAGCCGGCATTCATGTAATGTACAAACAACGAGCAAGTGAAAAAAGAGACAGACCAAAGAAGAACCGAAACAAAAAACTTGCACACATTGCTGCCTCGATTCTCAAGAGAATTTCGATATGTGTGCTCTTTTATTCTTCGAAGAAGAATGCTTTATTGTGTCTTTGAAAGATCGGCCTTGAATATGCCAACGAAATTTCAAATACTTTAAGTTATTCGATTCCCCTCCCCATCGAAAAGTCAATCGTGCATTATGAGAAATGTGAACAACGCCGAAAATATTCTTGAGCCAAACTGGAGTAAAAAAACTAGAGGAGACGATTGAATGTGAGAGCGAAAGACACGCTTTTGCATTGTCAGATCATTTCCTCTTACAAATTTCAATATTTAATTGTATTTGGCTCATCCTCTGTCGCCGGAAAGGAATCGACTTTATGAATTGAATTTTAATTAAAATCACATTTTCGCTCAAAATTTATTCTTCGGCTTGTCATCGTCAAGTGGGAATTTGTCGTCGCAAAGTAGTTGTATTGAATGACATGAAGAGTTGAAAACTGGCTTTTCATTGTGTCATATACCCCTTTCTCCCATTCCCTCTCGGTAATTTCGTCTGTTTTTTTTTCTGGGTTTTCTCGTAGAAACAGATGTGTATACATCTAAAAGTCAAATTAAAAAAAGGGCGACTTCCAAACTAAAAAGGAACAACCTGAAATTAATTCACTTTTTCGATGAATATATGCGCCATACATTTGTCTACGATGCCAAAGTGAATGCGAATAAAAAAAAATTAAAAGAATAAGGCTCAGCAGCCGCATCAAACTCAAAACTGAACAATGCGTAATTTGACTTTGGGTTTGAATCAGTTCTATTCATTGCCGTATTCTTCGTTAAGTCGCTTCTTTGCCATTGCAACTTCTGCTTTTACTTGACGATTTCTTTGCGTCTTCGAGCTGATTAAATTGCCTTTCATTGCGTCGTGCATGTGAAACTCCGGCTATTGTTCTCATCCATTGACGGTGATAGTATGAATTTAAGCGCTTAAGTGAATGTATATTAACCATTTGTGTAAAAACACTCGATATTTACCACACGGAATGAAAGAAGACGCAGAAATGAAACGATGGCATTTACATAGTGTACGGAGGATGAAATTCTATAAATCTTAATATAATTTGAAATAAACTGGAATTGATTGTGTTGAACATTGAGTGAGTTGGCCGAGTGTCTGAATGTGAATGTGCGTGATCATTCTGGGTTGATTTGACCGTGTTGAAATCACATTTCAAGACTCGATGGTCGGTCGTGATGAGCACGTGTGTCCCAATTTTTTCTCGTTTTCCTTGCGATTTTTGATGCATTTGGCTTGAGAGACCGATCGCGGGTTCGATACATGGATTAAACATTTATTGGATCGTATGTAGTGTACATACTATATTCGCTTAAGTTTAAGATCTGAACCAATTGCAAGCTGTATATAGACTGCTCTTTTGCTCGTCTTTCTTTCTCTCTCTCTCTCTCTCTCTCTCTCTCTCTCTCTCGCTCTCTGCGTTTCTGCTCTCAATTCAAATGGTTCAGGGTCACATGGGAATTTCTAACTTCAATTATATAGTTTTCCTCATATATATTTATTTTATTTGAATTTTTTTTGTTATTTGTGAGTTGTTATTTTTGATTCTGTGTTGATTGTTATTGTTATTTCGTTCTGTGCGAGTCGTCATACGGTTCACATTAACGCGTAGTTTGTTGCGGTCGCATTCTCATTCTATGATTTTAGCTTCATGTAGTGTGATACATACACACACACATTGATCGTCCCTTTACGACTGAGTGTGTCGCTCAGGCAGCCCAAACACTTTGATGTGCTCGTTTTTTTGGTAAATGAATCAGATTGTTTCTTCTTTTCAAGTTTTTTTTTAGCATTAAGCTGTATTGAATGAGTGTGTTTGCGTTTGCTTGATGATGCTTATGCATATGTTGTATGTTTTATTATTGAGAGTGAGAGAAAAATCTAAGGCATTTTTTCCTCATACTTCCCGGGATATATCTCACACTCAATCACCATGTAATGTGAATAAAAAAAAAATCGTATTCACACACGGTTCCATCAACGGCCGATCAAATCGGTCGTTAAAGGTGCAAAATATCAACAGAGACCATAGGGATGTAGCAAAGGCCATAAAATATATGTTTATCAAGCTCTTTCCAAGTTTGTGCATAGTGTCGAACTTTTGTTCAAACTCTACCATCTAAATGTACAGTAAAATAATTTACGGGCACGACGTTAGATGGCGTTTTTTCTGGTCAAAAAAGTTGCAATATCCCTTTGACAGAGACAAAAACAAAGCAGAACAAAATCAAATGGCCATGCCCAAGTGCGACCGCCATTTGGTCCATACATTGAATCAAAGTTTGACGATTCTTTTTTTTTCCTTCAAATTCTGTAGTTCATTACTGAATCACAGACTATACATGTAAGTGTCTGGCTGGGTGTTTGGCGTAGAAGAAGAAAAATCTTTCGAGAAAAAACAAAGAGTTGAATACAATGTGAGTATGAATATGTGCGCAAGATTGTCTTGTATGTGCTCACTCTCGACTAAGTACTACATCTACATATGTACGTCGTATGTGAATAGATCAATTATTATTATTACTTAGATATGCATCATTCTTCATTCAAAACTCAGATGAAAAATTAACAAATCCAAGGAGAAAACTAAAAAGACGAGAAAAAACAATAACATTTGAAATAAAAAGCGACTAACATAGCGAATCGAGTGAGCGATTCAACGAAAGCATATTGAAGAAATAATACGAATTCTGTAGTTAATCATTTCGATGGACTTATTTACGATAAATTTAATACTTAACGTTATTTCCCTTCATTCTACTCTTTTATTTTAATTCGGTTGTATTTCTATGCATTCAATCGTATACTTGATATGGTGTGTGTGTGTGTTTTTTTTTCTTTCTTTATTTCTCGGCTAACTCGAATCATTGAATCAACGAAACATTCATTTAGTTTAATTCATTTGAATTATTATTTTTTTGTAAAGCTGATTTGATGTAAGTTTTTTTATATGTGGAGGAGCATTTTTATTCCTCATCGATATAAATGAAGAAATTAAGAGAATGAACTCCTCAAACCAAATCAAATCAAATCAAACCTAAGCATATACAATACATATATTTTAAGAATTTTGTAACAAAAACTACTTACTCGTTCTTCTTCGCGTATCATTTCAGCTATACCTGGCTTTATTTCCATGTCATCGGAATTGGCATTTGGTAAAAGAGAAGCCATAGCCATTGGATCGATCGAACCGGCCGCCGATAAGAATGGCGGTATACACTTCGAGCTACTGATTGAAATCGAAACGAAATAAAATTCAAATATTTATATTGAAAATCCAGCACAAATTTTTTTTTTAAACAGATAAAATCAACTTGACTTTGACTGGGATCGTATCGAGTTCGAGACGAGTAAAAAAGAGATACGAATGCGTGAGATCAAGTGAGATAGCTCAGATATGGGTTAAGCGTGTAACGCGATACTTACGCCGATTCCGATTGTGGTGCGGGCGATGCGCTTATGTCGCTGCGCTGATCCAACGACAATGGGCTTGATGCGGTTCGTTTAATCTCGGCTGATGGACAGCGTCGTTTGCGATTCGAGAAATGACGTGATGACGATGCATGTGATGCTTGCTGCGATGATGACGGTGTGGATTGTTCACGTTGCTTGTGTTGCATTGAAAGATGCTCTGATAAATCCATGTTATTGATTTGCCATTCAGTGCGTGCCGTTATCCGTTTCTTAGTGGCCGGAGCTGAGTCTGTCAAATTTCATTTGCAATTAATTTATCATTTAACCTACAAACTAATAAATCTTCGTCTCTTCGCTAATTTTATGGTGGCGGGCAAAAGGAAATGAAGAAGGAAGATTTCTTGCGCCACACGAAGAGATCCATGATTCATTGAATGAAATCAGCTGATGACAGAACAAAAATGATTTAAATTCAATTGACCTACCATTGTTTTTTGTAGCCGTGGTTGGTGTGACATCGGTTGCATCATCCAAAGATGTGGCGGTTGCCGATTTTTCCGATTCCGAATTCAAATCGAGATCACTCTTAACATCGGCCAAACCGCGAATCTTCAACATTTCAGCGACACGCAACAATGGAGCGATCTGCTCTTGGCGAACATTGATCTCACCTTTGTACATAAATTCCACGACCGCCGTCAGCTCAGGCCATTTGACATCGCGCAAAATTATAATTGGATGTTTACATGGATTGTCAAAGAGTAAGCTTTGAAAGTATGGCGAACATGCGGACAAAACCATTTTGTGCGCCTTCATCGAGTTGCCATCACAGGCCAATGTCACATCAACAAATGATTCATTCTGCAGCAATTGATCGAATACATTTGTCAAATTCGATTGGTAATTGTTCCAGCGCAAGCAAAATTGCTGTGGATTCGGTGAACTCTTGTTGTCGTTAATGATTGGCTTGAGGGGCGCCTTTGACAGTGGTGGCGTGTGCGGCGAAGGCGAACGAATGTGCAAATGTTCATCTTTGATCGGCGAAGGCGAAGGTGCCACTTCGTCTCGTTCGACGTCAATCGATGATAGATTCGCTGGCATTTGAGCCAATGTTGATGACGATGCCGGTGGTGTCAACGAAGCACGTGGCGACAACTCGGGTGTTGTTGATGTTTTAGACATTGCGAATTTTAGCGTCAACTTTTATACGCTTTCTTCAACGCTCTCTTCTCTTCGGCTTCGGTTATCGTAAATGAAACACTTTTCCAACACAAAATTTCGAACTCAAATTCTTATTAAGAACAAAAAGGAAACCAAAGAAAACAAATGAAACCAAGACACTGTACAGTGTACACAGTTTTTTACTGCAGTGTCTGTCGTAATCGGTATTTAGATTTCGTTTTTTTTATTGATATGCACATGAATTTCCGTCTTAAAACCAAGTTATGCCTCTTGAAATCGTTGCAACACACTTTTACGATAGAATGTTTGCATTTTGGTTTACTCTTGTTCTATGGAACTTGTAATATTTTCTTACGTTGAAGTGTAACAGAGTTTTTTTTTTACTCGAGATTGAAAATCAAATGTGGCTATGCATAATGTAAGACCCGTTCATTGAAACTATTTTATACCGTTTTTAGATTAGAAAAACATCATTTTACGCGGTGTTGTTCATAAAAACGTCAGTAAATTGCCACTTTTGACATGATTCACACTTTAATTCAAATTATTCTTTGCGTTTGCTTGTTCTCTGCAACTTGATTATTACAATATTTTCTCTTGGTCGCACTTATTCAACATTTAACTATGTTTAATGTTTGTTTTTCATTAAAAATTCTTTAAACATGTGTGTGGCGTTGTTTGTTTTTTTCCTCAATAAATTATTCGTTTGAATTTTTCACTAAGACACGAAAACCAACCCGTTTACCGCTCGAACTAGACTATTTGCAAACGTAATTTTCTGGAAAAGCAATCAAATCAAATGCGCAACAATTGACGGAATAAAGTTCAAAAAACAAAATTTCATTAAATGGATTTGTTTTGAAGACAATTTTCTTTACGGTTATTTATGATTAGGTCTGTAAAAACGCAAAGCATATGATATTGTAGCGTGTTTCAACTGTTTGTAATTTCACTCTAAAACAACACGACGTTCAGATGCACACTGAATACTGAGTTCGTTTTATTTTTTCCACAAACTCCAAATAAAGCAAAACGTCGATGCTGTTGGTATTGGTGGGCCATACACGAACGAACACTGCTCACATCTACATGCATCTACTACTTGTGTTGGGTTTTGTGCTAGTCAGCATGTTCGAGCATAGCGGTTGGTGGATAGAGCGACAGAGAAAACCGAACCAATCGAGGAGAGTGAGACCGAACGTGCGAAGCAACCGAATGTAAAACGGAGAAACGGCGATCAAAGGGCGAACAGCAACCGAGTAGTATGCGACTGCCAAGCAGAAGAGAGCGAACGAACGAACGAATGAATCACAACGTGCAAGTGACATTACATACATCAACGTCGCTCACAATGTAAAATATAGATGTTGTATACAAAACAAAATGCAAAGAGCCGGTCGATTAAAACTGACGATGGTTTTACACATGTACACACTGGGAGAGCGCGCGCGAGAGAGAGAGAGAGAGTGCAAAGTCTCTGAAGACTCTCTGGTGCAGTGCATTGCTATGTTTTGGATTATGTATCCAATTTGTTTTACTACAAAAGAAGCGACGCAAGGAAATAAACATAGATTTTGTCGCGAAGGGGAATCGTTCCGGGGTATTGAACGACTTGACACTTGAACAACAGTCAGGCAACGGTGAGCTGTGTGTGATCAGTGATACAGTTATGCACACGAACACATGTTCTTGAAATCAAATGTTCCGGTGAACGTAGCTCATAAATCATTTCACTGATGAGTCAAAACGCTGCAAGAAAATATTTATTTCTATTTTAACTTGTTCCATTGAAAAGAAGAAAATTTAGAGAAAAAAAAAGAATTAAATAGAAAAATAAATGATTCATCGTTGGCCCATTCAAAATGCGATTTGTGTCACATGATGATTGAAATCTTCGAAATGAGTTAGTTTGCCGCGCAAAAGTCTGCGATGTATTAACGATGGGCATAAAAACATCGACAAATTTGTCGGCCGCTTCGTGCTTAAAACTGTGTGCTGTGTACTTCACACACTGACTGCTCCGAATGTGCATGTATTGAATTGGGAGGGCGAAACGATCCGATAGTATAGGTTATTTGTGATATGATAACAGCGACAGTGTACAATCAGCGTACAAGTTGTTCCCCACTTTTTTCCAATTTCTTCCGTTTGCATTTAAATGTGTTGCTGCTGTTGTTGTTGTTGTTGTTGTGTTTTTTTCTTTCGTTCTGTTCATTTTAAACTCGATCGAAGCGCTTACACTATAAGCAATGCGTCTGATGCTGCAGCTCGAAAAACTCTCTCGCTCTCTTTCTCTCTTTCTCGCTATGATCAACTTTTCGAAAATTATTCGTCTCCTATTGATTGTTTGGCCGCTCGCTCGACCGCCGAAAAGCCGTCGTGTGAATGAGATTACCATATTAGCAGCAGCAGCCGAGTCTCGGGATGAATGTATGCTCCTCTCCTTGTACATATATTCGTTAAAATACGAGAGATGTAGATTCGAAGAGTCGGCCGTGTTCGTCAGCTCGTATATCTCATGTACACACTTTTTCGAAAGAGATGAGAGCGAAACGAATGCATTGTTTTAGTTGGCGAACAGAATCGAATTGAATGTTTCGTTTTTATTGAAAAGATCATCACACACTCAGCATATTTTGTCGCTTGTTACGATGAAGCGCGAAATGTTATTCCTTCTTCCTACAAATATATCAATATATGCATATACATATGCATGTGTCTGCATCTGTAGCTGTGGCGATTAAGTTTACATCGAAATGGCCCAACCTCTGGTTGCAAACCTTTGGTAGGGGCAAGCGATTTTCTGTTTGCTGTTTTTTGTTGTCGCCGTCGTCGCCGCTGTCGTTGCTATTGTTGTTGTTGTTGCTATTCTTTTCCGCTTGCCAATACTTGTACGTATGCATGTATGGTTGCACATTGCCGCCGTTCAATTCGTTTCGCGTATTCGGCTTCTTTTCCTTACACCAACCAGATTGTTGAAGTACAATTATTCCATTTGCCAAATGCATTTGCGGTACCGTTCGATCGAAAACTTTTTAAGATGCAAGCGTGTTGCCAAGTCACACAATGCAATTTTCGTCCGGTTGACAGAATGTTGACATAATTTTGACAAACTAAGAAGCAACCAAGAAATCAAACAATAATCTCAAATCGACCCACTTTTAACGGCATTACAATTTGCTAGTAGCGAACGTCCCAGGTTTTGAATTTTATTATTCGTTTTTCATGAGACGAAATTTGCCAGAACATCAACTGAAGTAACAAATGATTGGAGAAGTTTATTTTCTTCTTATTATTATTTTTGCCTGGACTGAGAACAAAGAGGCGTTTCTTTTCGAATATTTACTTTCAGTTTATTGCTCAATTCTTCAATTGCTTTGGTTATAGCAATAAATTTGAACAAATTTATTGGGTATTCAAGTCAATCATATTTACTGAGGCGACGTCGAATTTATGACGATTCCCACCATTGACGAAACTCTTTCGTGGCCAAAAAAAAACTTATCAACAATTTCGAACAAAGCTTGGGCATACACCGAAAGAAAGAAAGAAAAAAAAAGAAACGGCCTATAACCAAAACTGTTGCCAAAAAAAACTTTGCATCGACAATACCTCGTCGCAACGTATTATTTTGTCGGCTTTTCTTTTGTCGTTAATAATTCATTTACGTGTGCTATATTCTTTTGCCAATGATAAAATAACAATTAATGAGAAAAAAGGCAGACAATCAACAACGTGTGTACATTAAGCGAACGAAAAACAAAAGAGACAAAAAAGGTTAAACAGCCAGATGAGAGTATATTGGCTCGAGAAAATGTCTAATAAGAACAGATATATGGTTCCAATTGGATCAGCAACAATATCTTTTTTTTTGCTGCTCCTTCTCTTCCCTGGAATGTGAAATGATTCAAATATTATGAAAGAAGTCTCTAACGTTCGTATCACGAATATTACGTCAAATTTTACTGTTTGTTCACCGTATTCTTTGCCAGTCGTATGGAATGTGGAATAATTTTTCGTTAGAAATTTTTTTTTATTTGAATTAGTAAATAAATTGACTAAGTTTTGCCATAAGTTTGCTTGCATTTTTGTTGTTTCATAGAAATTATACAACACAGATAGATACGCGTGCTTGTTGGCTGATGTTTGCCATAAGTCTCATCGAGTCTTGATAAAACATTCACATTTATATTTACACGTTCAAAGCGCGTACTATTGTTTAATGTAAGCTATAAAATGAATTGTACAAATAATTTTTGTTGATTTTTTTGTTGTTCAACAACTAAATGATAAGAGTGGAATGTCATGGAATAGAACAAAAGTAAACGTTCAAGGAAACATGTGCAAAACAACAATATACAACACGTGTCGCATTTGCCAAAAAATACCGACAGTGGTACTGGCAGTATATATTGGTGTATTTTTTCTTCTTCTTATAGTTACGATTAATAGATTTTTGAGTGCTCCACAAACGAAACAATCACTTCAATTCGCTATATTTATTTTTCAGCATTTTGAACTGGGTTCTCGATTTTTCTCTATTTTTTGCTTCAATTCAATAGTTGTGAGTACCGTTTATGTTCCTAGGCTAATTAATGTAATAAAACTTTCGTAGAATTGTTAGTTGTTCAAGATACAAAGGTTGTCTGAAGTTAATTTTTCATAACAATAATGGCGATGATCAATTCCTTAGCAAAACTGGTTCGATCTGGGGCTAGATAAATTCCATTTTTATGCAAAAATCATTTACGTAACTTCAAGAGATAGACAAAGAACGAGACGGATAGAGAGAGCGTAAAAGAGTGAGAGAGAGAGAGAGAGAGAGAGAGAGCGGGACGGAGAGAAGAGGCGAATAAATGGTAAAAGAAAATAATACAAATGTAAATTATATAGAAAAGGCCGAACCGAAGCCACGCATGAGAAGAAAAGAGCTAGAAAATATGAAACAAAATCAGCAATCGAATAAAAATAAACGTTAAACCATGCACACGATAAGTTATTAGTGAATTTGCGTGAATGAATAACAGAACGAATATATGCGGTATACAACACATCGATATAATATATTTATGAAAACTCCGCCTATCGCCGTCGTCGTCGTTGCCGCCGTCATCATATGTCCGAGAAAACAAGTAACACGAGAGATCTCTCGACCATTCTCTATTTATTTATTTGGGTAAAAGTGTACATACATGAGTCATGTGATATGGTGCAACACTATTTGGAGGCACCGTCGTTTGATCCTACACAGAAATCGGGAGAGCGAGAGAGAGAGAGAGAGTAAGAGAGAGAGTAAGAGAGAGAAGGAGAGAGGTCCACTTACGCAAATTTTTACTTCGATTTTTCGGCAACGGATTTTTCGGCCAAATCGAATCTTATTCAAACGGATTAAACGAGAAGAATGCTTTGAATTATTCTCTCTCGCAAAAGAAAATACACAGGGGTCCGAATCGGTGTGTGGACACAGAGAGCGAGAGAGAGGAAGATCTGACGAAATGTGGAGCCCATGGCATGATACTCATACACGTTGTACAACGTACAGTATATACAATACACACAGTGTAGTGCACAGTACACTTTTTAATTTTCCTTCCGCCAGCACTTTTCTCGCTCTCGCCCTATATCGATAAGCCCTTTTTCTCTATATATGCATTTTATGCTGTCGCTTGGTCGGTGGAATTCTTTTTTTCTGTTTCTGCTCTGCATTTTCTTTTTGCAACGCTATAAATGTTATTTTGCATTTTCGATTCTCGCGATACACATTGGGGGATGCATGGATTGGGGCCAGTACAGTATACAGAATCATGTATAACCACATGCTCAGACGCCAATACCAATGCGGCACGTGTGCAGTATGCAATAGGTTTTCGGAGCAAAATTCTCTCGTCATCCATGATTGAAATCTATTCGGCTGCGTTATTATTCACTCTCAAGCCTCACTCGTCCTTGCCCGTTTCGAGTTTTTCCTTTTTACATGCTCCTCATTCTGTTTCTTTTTTCACTCTCTCTCACTCTTTCCCTGTTTTGCATTCGTTTTCTTCTCCTTTTTCCGTTTCCATTTTTGGCATTTTAATTGTTGTCCTGTACAACGTGCGCGTTCGAACGCAACAATTTCAATCCA